TTTCGAATATTGAACCATCCTTGCATCCCTGGGATGAATCCTCCTGGTCATGGTGTATGATCTTCTTGATGATTTGCTGTATTCTGTTTGCTAGGATTTTATTGAGGATTTTGGCATCTATGTTCATGAGGGAGATCGGCCTGTAGTTCACTTTCTTAGTTACGTCTTTCCCTGGTTTTGGTATCAGTATAATACTTGCCTCCAGGAATGATTTTGGGAGGACTGCTTCCTTTTCAATTTCATTGACGAGTTTGAGGAGTATAGGGACTACATCTTCTGTAAATGTCTTGTAGAATTCAGCTGTGAATCCATCCGGACCTGGACTTTTCTTTGTCAGTAGGTTTTTAATTACATCTCGTATTTCATTGGCTGTTATTGGTTATTGAGAGTGGTTATATCTTGTTGATTCATTTTTGGTAATTTGTAGTTTTCTAGGAATCTGTTCATTTCGTCTGTGTATTCTATTCTGTGAGAGTAAAGATTCTCAAAGTTGCTATTGATATCAGGAGTCATTCTTAATCTGAATCATGTAGTTCCAAAGGTCCCAGCCCCTAACAGCAGTCGCTCTCTAGAAGCCCTGCCTGTGAGACCTCTGAAGAACATTTTTGTAGTAAGCTATTTTATAGCTATTCAGTGGAGAAGGACCCCAGTGGGCTGGGGAGGTGCCTGGCGGGGCTCCCCAAGGGCCAAAGCAGTCCGCACTGCTGGGGGGGACCCGTTGTACTCTGACGTGGCTACACATTGTCTGCTGTCCTCACAGCACAGGAGCATCTGCCCTCACTGCGTGGAACGTTTACCAGGACTGTGTCCTGTATTAAAAGGACAGAAATGTTCTTAATGACCTCTTTGCTCCTTAGTACTCTCTGTTGTGTTTACAGATGTGTTCCTCTAAGGAGGGAGGATTTTCTTCCCACATGATAAAAAGCAAAACAAAATGAAACACTTCCTACTAACCTATCAGAAAGTCTTCTTCTTTTTTTTTTTTTTTTTTCTTGGAATGCCTTCAAGGCATGACTGGTTATCTTGTGTTGTGGGGATCGAACCCAAGCAACCTGAGCCTGACTGCTTTGTTGAAGCAGCCAGTTAAAGAACTGAGCTACGGGGCATGCCCCCTCAGAAAGTCTTTTTAAAGGGGAAATTGATACTTTAATTTTTATGTTTTTGAATTTTAGTATATGTGCTGCCGAAGCGAGCACTAATTTTTATGTTTTTGAGATTGATATTTAAAAATGGAATATTTTCTTCAGTGAAACTCACCTGGTGTGTGTGCCACTGAAGTACGGAAGGGTGTCCAGTGTTGAAATGAAAGTGCCACAATATAGGTCCAGAGATGAGGGAAGTTGACCCCTCCCGTGAGTGCGCGGAAGCACTGCGGGGTGGAATAGGAACTGTCACGATGGGCCGGTGGTGCCCCTTGCGTAGAATGCGCTGCCTCCCTGCTCCGGCTTTGGGAACGTGCTGAAGCTGCGGTGCAGACGGTGCCGAGAAGTCATTCAACCCCCAGTCACTAGTGCCGAGTGAGGATGTTAACAGATGCAGGAGTACACCTTAAGCAGTTGATGAGTGAAAACTCTGCTTGTTTTTTGTTCTGTTTTTAGGTTGTAAGTATTTTCGATATATTTTAAAACAAGATCATCAAGACCTGAGGAAGAAAATTAAGCAGATGAAGAAATCAGTGAGAAGATACAGCATTGTGAAACCAGCAGTAGATTAAATTTTAGTTATTTTTCAATTGCAGCCATAGAGTGGTGGGTAGCTCAGTAGTTACTGAATGTATTTATTTAAGGTTTTAAGAAACTATAAACTTTTCTTTATTTTGGTCTTTTTGAGACAGGGTCTCATTATGCAGTTCAGGCTGGCCTTGAACTCACTATGTAGCTGGCCTTAAAACAGTGATCCTCCTGCCTCAGCCTCCTGAGTGGTGGGATTATAGACTTGTATTATAAGTTATATAAACATTTTTATACTTTTTATATTTCATGTTGTTATAGCTGAAAAAAAATGCACTGCCTTTGCTCTTTGTAAACATGTATTTTTTTCTGTTTTGTAATGTTGAATGCACTATTTTTAAAGGAATGACTTTTCAGATAAGAAATATTTGTTTAATTAGAAAATATAGCTATATAGCAGTTATTGTTTACAGATAACTTGTCTCATGTGCTGTGTAATAAAATACAGAACTTGTGCTGCTAGGAAAGGAATTTGTGTTCTTTAAATTCTCATTGACTCATGTTAAGATTTACCAACCTGAAGGAAAATCCTGGTGAGTTCTGAGGAGGAATTTGGAAAGAGGGGGCATAGAAGAGGCTGCTGGCGGAGGAGGCCTTGTGTCTGCGGAACGACACAGCTCAGGGAGGCATCCATAGTGCTGCCTCTGCACAGGGGCTGCGCGGCCCTGCCTAGCACGGGCATGGAGCTCACGTGCGGGCCCCTCTTGGAAGCAGGAATGAATGCTGAGTTTCACTGTCTTATTTCCTACTAATTTAAATCATCTGCAAGAAAATTGGGGGGCCAATTGTTAATGTCAATGAAGATGCGCCCAGATTTGTACCATAGGTAAAACAAGTCCGTGGCCCTGAGCCGAGGGAGCCAAGCCAGTGCTTCAGCGTGCAGAGGGTGGCAGCTGGGAGGGTCGGCCAGCAGGGAGGGATGAGCTCAGCACGTGGACCGCACCCCAGGGCACCGGTGTCCTCCCAGCGTCCTCAGCCAAGAGCTGTGAACAGGAGAGGAGGTGAGAAGCAGATGTGGCGCTCGGTTTCCACTGAAGCCTCCTCTCCCGAGGTCTTTATGCCAGAGCAGTGCCATCTGCCTGTGGAAACTGCTGTGGGGTCTCCGAAGTGAAAACCAGTTGTGTCAAGCGCCTGGGGCTGCAAGGGCACTGTGCCAGCACCACATTTCTGTGGCTTCTGTCAGCCTGTGGGGAGGGGTCTTGGGGTGGGGTGGCTTGCAGGGTTGCAGTGAGCAGGTGTGGTCACGTGGTTCATCCCACACCCTGGTGTCTGGGCCTCCCAGGAGTCAGATTCACTTCAGGCAGAGGACTGAGCTGGAGACCAGGGAAGAGGCCGCCAGCTCAATCAGAACTTGGCCTCACATCTCCGCTTTCCCACACATCCCTACAGCCTCCCCGAGCCTCCTGTCTCCATCTGACCGACAGCTGACAGGATCTCTGGCCTAGAAAACCATCCTAGAGCTGAGAGGGACTGAGCGTGTCTGTCCTGTAGGAGGTAATACCTAGGTGAGGCTGTGCCAGGCATGGGGCATCCTCTCAAGACATGGGGTTTATCCTTTGGTGCTTTTGCAGTTTGTGTGTGTGTGTGTGTGTGTCCAGCTCAGCCCACCCTCGGAGCGGGGCTGGTGCGGGATATGGTGCTGGGGATCAAACCTTGGTCCCTGTGTGCGCTTGCCTAAGCAGGTGCTTTAGACCGCTCAGCTATCTCTGGCCCAACTTGTGCAATTTCTTGGGCAAATTCTTTCTGTAAAACAGAGACAATTGGGTTTACGTCATTGGGTTGCCATGAATGAAGGAAGCATAATGACTAGGATAATGATGAATGTTGATTGTGAAGTAACCGTGCATCATGACTACATTAAGGGAGTGAAGCGGAAACTACATCAAGAGAGTTTAGTGCCCTTTGCTTGCTCCTGGAAACATCCGAGGGTGGGCACTGGAGATGCGGAGCATGCCGTTTTGGTGCGTTTGCACATTGGGGAATGATGGCAGCTGGCCAGGTAGGACATCCCTTCCCTCTGAGCACCTGTTGGCGTGTGTGCACATGTGTACACGTGGCAGGGTTTAGCGCCGGCCTCTTGCAGGTCACAGGCCTGTGGAGCAGCATTGTCACCATCATGCTGTACACTGATTTCTCCACAGATCCTTCACGTTGCATCGACTGGACCTGGGAGTCCTGTGGCCAGCTTCGTGCCATCTTGCCTCTCCCCTTCTCAGGCCTGGCACTTAGCATTCTCCCGGCCTCTTGAGTTTGGCTGTTTTAGAGTCCACACGCGAGAGGTCACGTGGGTTCCTGTGTCCCCCTTGTTCTCATCCTGATGCCCTTCACGTGCATCTTGTTGCAGACACGGGGTTGCCTTTTGCCCATGGCTGAAGCACATAAATACCTCATGCTTCCTTTACCTGCTCACCTAACAGCACTTCAGTTTTTGCGCCTTCTCGGGCCTCATAAACCTTGCTACAGTGAGCACAGGTGTGCAGGGAGCTTCGGTCCTGATTCCAGTTCGTGTGCTAACATAGCCGGGTGGGTCTATTTTTACTGCCTGGAGAGCCCTGTGCTGTTGTGTGATGAGTCTGTTCCCACGGGTTGCAGGGTGCATGTCCCACACCCGCACCCACACTTGTTTGTCTTTGTGATAATCGCCTGCTAACAGGTGTGAGGTGATGAATCCTTATGGTTTTGATTTGCATTTCTCTGACGTTGGGAGCTGTTTAACTCCTAGCAGAGACCCATTAGTTGTTG